GGCCGATGCTTGGAAGTGGAATGAGTCCATCAGTCTTTGTGAATTGCTCAGCGAAGCCCGTCATCATGGGTTTCCACTGCGGCTGGTTTGGATGGTGCTGGGGCACCACCGTCAACCGCGAGTTCTGAAGGCCTTCGCCTCGTACTCCGAGCCCTTTGCCTCATGGCAGGGGCTGCTTGCTGGATGCGCCCGCTCATCCCCCCTCTCGCTTCCTCGCTCTGCGTGCTGCGCGCAGAGTCAGGCTGTGCGACGTCGTGCCAAGGGCTTTGGTAGACGACCTCGCGATTGAGTGGGCGGGGGAGCGGGCGGGCGGGGTGGGCGGGGCCAAACGCTTTTGAACTGCGTTGGTCAACTTTGAGGCTGATGTGATGCCTCTAGGTGTTGTCCCCCGGGGTTCGGCCTCTGGCAGGTCGGGGTATGTAGCTGGCAGCCGCGCGGTCCGTCGCGCCTTCTGTCGTTTGGCTCGTGGGGCCAGGCTCGAGGCCAAGCGTCAACTGTGCAATCTCGGACATGAGCTGTCAGGGCGCGATCGTGGGAGGCCAATCGCGCAAGCCCGCCTAGCAAAAGTGAAGATTCGCATGCGTAGGACTTTCCCGCAGCGCGAAGCTGTTGGCAACAAGGTGTCGCGTCTCTGGAGAACTGGCCTGGCCCCAGGGGCTGGTCGCTGTTGTGGAGCTTCGGGTGCGGCCGACACTGGGCTCCGTAGGCTCCGAGCTACTGCGGGGGCTCTCGTTGGTGAAAAGGGGTCGCGGGGGGAGCCTGGCCCATGGTGCGATCCTATGTTTGAGGCCATCCTGGCCGCCTGGAAGCACTATACCCATGTAGTTTGGATCCAGACCGTGCCGCTTGGAATGTTGGAGCGGGCCTGGAGGGCCCTGGCTGAGAAGCGAGCGGGGACATTTCCGTGGCAGCGTGCGTCTGGGCCCCTGGCGATAGTTTGCCTGTCATTGATGAGGGTCGATTGGTCGACGGGGTCGTCGTTGGTTGTGCGGTCTGACCTTGGGGGGTCTTTATCGTTGTTGCACATCGACCCTCATCATGTGTTTCAGTTGCTGCATGCTGGCATTCAGAGGTGGCAGATGCGTAGGATCCAGACCCACGTTCCCGAGTTTCCCGTGGGTTGTGAGCGGTGGCCCCGCGGGATCCGAGCTTCGGTTGGGTCCGAGGGGGCCGCGCTCAGGACCCCGATACTGGCTGGGATCATTTATCGCTTTGGGCCAATTCTTGGTGGCAAAAGGATCGATTGTGCGTTGCTGCGCACGTGCCTGACCCGAAGTGTCGAGGCTGCGGAGCCCTTTTTGAATCTGTGGGTCACCTTCTCTCGGAGTGCCCTGCGGTGCGGGAGACGCATCTCGACGGAAAAGAGGAGGTGCCCATGCGCGGAAAGTCGGGGGGAACATCAGGCGGGTTTTTTTCAGCCCAGGGCCCGATTGGGCGCCGCGGGATCTCCGATCCTCACAGTGTTGAGCTTTCGGTGGGCCTGTCGCTGCTGCCAGGCCCGCGTGTGCAGCCACCTGGGGATCCACCGACACCTAGTGGGGCGATTGGACCACCCCCCCGAGCCAGCGAGGTAACGTTGTGTTCGCGGACGGCTCGGGGAGGTAGTCTAAGCAGCCAGACGTTCGCATTTGCGGATGGGCCTTTGCCCAGATGTCTGACGCTGGGCTCCCATTGCGTGCCTGTTACGGGCGGCTGGCGGGGCCGAGTCAGACGGTCGGCGAAGCCGAGCGAGTGGCGGTGCTTCGAGCGTTGCAACAGTCGCCGTCTGCGGACATTATTGTCACGGATATTCTTGGCTTGGCCCAGGAGGCGCATGAACGGGGTTCAGACGCCGCCGGCTCAGCAGGCAAGCGCGCGTCAGTGTGGAGGCCGATTCATGATGTTGTCGGGTCTTCGGGGGAGTTTTTTTGGGGGGAGGGGGGGGGGCGCCCTGTTGTGCACGGATGCCCTGTCCGTAAAGACCTGGGCGACGCTGTCTGCCTAGGGCCTGATCAAGGCCCTCCGTTCTGTTATGTCCTGGGGAACGCCTGGGCCGATTTCTTCGCCAAACTTGGAGCCTCGTGTGAGTCGGTTGGCCGCGGGACGGCTGATTTGTATAGGCTGGCCTTGGAGGAATCGCAGGAGTTTTCGCGATATTTGGCATGGGCTGTGGGGCGCCTGATTGATCTTGGTCTGTGTTCGGCTGCGTCGTCGTCGCAGGCCGTTGGTTCGATGGCCCCCCAGCCTGTGCCTGGCGTGCCTGTCGCTCCGTTTTCTGGACCTGATGATCGCAACCTCTGGCGCAGCAGGGCCCGAGGTGAAAAGCGCTGCCGCGAGTGCGGCATCTTCGCGAAGACGGAGGCAGGACTCCGAACCCTCGCCGCCGCTGCTGGTCGCTGCCGCCCGTCCCCGTTCGACCCTTGGCAAGCGAATAGGGTGTTTGGGCGGGGCCCCAATGACTGGGGGCTTTCGGTGTCCGAGGGGGCCCGTGTGGCGCTGGAGGCGGCCGACAGGCTGCTTGAGGAGTCCGCCCCTGAACCCGAGGGCTCGGCGTTGGCCCTCGTGGGGCCTGGCGCGGGGGGGCTCTTGGGGGCCGACCCCTAACCTCCCCCCTCCTCCTACCTCCTCTTCCTGCTCCCTCCTGCTCCTGCTCCTGCTCATGCTGCTGCTCCTCCTCTTTTTCATCATCTTCCTCCTCCTCCTTCTCCTCCTCCTCCTCCTCCTCCTTCTCCTCCTCCTCCTCCTCCTCCTCCTCCTCCTCCGCCTCCTCCTCCTCCTCCTCCTCCTCCTCCTCCTCCTCCTCCTCCTCCTCCTCCTCCTCCTCCCCCGCCTCCTCCTCCTCCTGCTCCTCCTGGTGGACCGTGCCCCGATGGGGGCGGGCGGCGTGCTTCGTGCCTCGTGGCCTGGGCCGATCGTGTGGTGGGGCCCCGTCGGGCCCTCCTGGGCCTCTGGCGCGGGCCTCTGGGGGGCGGGATCCCCTCCTCCTCCTCCTCCTCCTCCTCCTCCTCCGTCCTCCCTCCTCCCTCCTCTCCTCCTCCTCCTCCTCCTCCTTCCTCCTCCTCCTCCTCCTCCTCCTCCTCCTCCTCCTGGTACTACCTCGCGCCATATTGGCGGTCCCTCCTCCTCCTCCTCCTCCTCCTCCTCCTCCTCCTCCTGGTACTCCTCCTCCTCCTCCTCCTCCTCTCCTCCTCTGCCGCGGCGTGGGCCCTGTTCCACGACCTCGGCCATCGGATGGCCGAGGTCAACGGCGTCGCCTTCTGCGAGCGCTGTGCTTGTGACGTCGGGGAGTCGGGGAAGGTGGTGGCCCTCAAGCGGCCTTGCAAGGGCCCCTCGGAACACCCCCGACCTTAGGTGTGCAGAAGTACCGTATCAAGAGGATGCGGGAGGGCAGGCCGCCGCGATAGCGGATCGGCGGTTGGCCCCTCCCCTCCAATCTTCTCCTTTCCTTGGCGTTTGCGTTCGGGCGACTTGGACGCACCCACGCTCGGGTATCCTATCTCATTCTCTCTCTCTCTCTCTCTTCTTCTTTTTTGTTTCTCTGTCTCTCTCCCTCTCTCACTCTCTCGTTCTGTCTTTCTCTCTTTCGTTCTCCCCCTCTCTGTCTGTGTCTCTCCCCGCTGGCTTCCGCTGTCGCTACTTCTGTCACTTGGGCTCTGCTCGCGTGCCCTCTGGGAGGGTCGCTCCCAGGGCGCCGGCTCGCGGCTTCCCGAAGCGGGCCTGCGATGCAAAGTCCAGGCCGCACGCGTGGCGCAAGGCATCCAACAGAAGACGCCAGTCTTCTTCTCCCCGTCGAAGTGCTCCTGAATGGAGGCGCGCGGGGGGGGGGGGGCGCAGGACCCCCCTCTCCCGCCCCCCCGCCCCTGTTGTCCTCCTCCCGCACTCGCACTCGCCCTTCCCCTCCCCGCCCCCCTCTCCTCCTTCCCCCCGCCCCGCTTCCATCCCTCCCCCCCTCCCCGCCCCCCCCGCGCGCCATCTCGCCCCCCCTCTCTCCGCCTCCTCCTCTCCCCTGCCTCCCCCCCTGTGGCCTGCCCTCCTGCCTCCCCCCCCCCGCGGGGCGACGACCCCGGCACGGCAGGCCTGCACCGGAGGCCGGCGGGGCCGAGGCGCCGAGCGGAGCCCCACCCGCCGGGGCGCGCGGCTCGCGGCCCCGGTCCGTGCCCCGCGCGCGGGCGGGCTGAGCGGGGGCCGGAGGAGGAGGAGGGGGAGGAGGAGGGGGAGGAGGAGGAGGAGGAGGGGGAGGAGGAGGGGGAGGAGGAGGAGGAGGAGGAGGAGGAGGAGGAGGAGGAGGAGGAGAGCACAGCGCGCACAGCAGCTTCGCGGCCCGAGCGTGCTCCGCCGCCCGCAGCGCCCCCCCCCCCCCCCCCCCCTGCGCCACTGCCTTCCTTCCCTCGTGCCTGCGTCGGCTCCGCTGCGTCCCTCCGTCGTCTCGGGCGCTCCTGGGATTCACGCTGCCGCCGAAGAGCGAAGCGTCCCGCGTGCGGGCGAGGCGAATCAGCGCGAGTTTCGGCACCCGCCGGGCCCAGGCCATGCCAGATCGATTCAGCGGGGCATGCCCGGGGCGTGCGAAGGGATTTGCCCGCGCTGTTGTCCCAGGCGTGCCCGGGGCCCGGCCTAGATGACGGGAAGCGCGCGCATCTCAGAGGACAAAATGTTTATACCGCTACACGCTGGTCGTTGAAAGTAGGTATCTCTGCTCTCCCAGATCCCAATCGATTTCAAGCGCCTTCCCATTTCAAGAATCGATATGCTTTGCTGCGCTCCGTTATTCTCTGGGAGGGCCTGAACCCAATCGACCGATGCGTGCTCTTTCCCAGTTTTCCCCTTTTTCGGCGTCCTGGGACGCCCTCGTCGGCACCGCTGTATTCGCATCGGAATCTTGGTCAGAACGCACCCTGGGAGAGGCCTAGAGAGTGGCGGTAGCGGTACCCCTTGGTTTCCCCAGTAACGTGCTACCCGTTAGCATGGCGGAGTGATTGGGAGGGGGATCTCTCTTGCCCATGTCTTGGCTCAATTTGTTCGGACTCACAGATGGGCCACCCTGGCGGCCGTCGCGGACCGTACCAGCCGTTTCTATGCAGGGGCCCCCGCTGGCCGCAGTGACGCACGACGCTCATGAAAGACGACGCTGTGTGTCTTCGCGACTGCGTGGCGCCGCCGGTGTCCCCGACGGTGAACAACTGGCAGCGCAGGGGCTCCTCGGGGAACGAGTCGGCCTCCGCAACCTCGACGACGACCGCTGACCCCGTGACGCAGCCGAAGACGCCGATGTCGCCGATGATTGCCAACTCGGACATCATGAAGCAGAGGTCGGCGGCGAGCGAGGAGGGGAAATGAGAAGGAGAAGGCCTTCTCAGAAGGCGGCGGGACTTCTCAGAAGCCCGCGCGCCTTCTGAGAAGGTTCTTGTGTCTTCGGGGAAGGCTTAGAAGACTTCTCAGAAGGCTAGGGGACCAGCGAGCGTTCTGCGAAGGCCCGCCCCTTCTCACTTCCCCCCCGCGCTCGCTACCAAAGAGGGTACGGGAGGCACTCCGAAAACCCGAGTACAACGTCGCGAATTTCTACCACGAGACGGGCATCTGGAGGAGCATCGCCACGAACCCCGTCTTCGAGAACTTGACGCTCATGGTGATCTCCATCAACGCGTTGTGGATTGCCATAGACACGGACGGCAACCCCGCTTCAACACTGCTGGACGCGCAGCCAATTTTTCAGGTCGCGGAGCACCTCTTCTGCTGGTACTTCTCTTTTGAGTGGTACGTCCGCTTCAGCTCGTTCAGGAGGAAGCAGGACGGGTTGAAGGACGGATGGTTCGTCTTCGACTCGTGCCTCGTGTTCATGATGGTCGCCGAGACCTGGGTGATGACTTCAATATTGATGCTCGGTTCCGGTGGCGGTTCCGGCATGGGTGGTGCTTCGATCTTGCGGTTGTTCCGTTTGCTCCGGCTTTCTCGTTTGGCGCGGATGTTGCGGTCCATGCCAGAGCTGATGATTCTGATCAAGGGGATGTTGGCCGCTTCCCGCTCCGTTTTCTTCACCATGTGCTTGCTAGTCATCCTTTTGTACCTCTTCGCAATCATGCTGAGGCAGCTCACGGACGGCACGCCTGTCGGCGACGCCTTTTTCTACAGCGTCCCTGCGTCCATGTACAAACTCCTCATTGAGGGCGTCTTCCTGGACAATCTGGGCGACACTGCGGAAACCATCGCCGCGACCAGCCCCGTGTACGCGGCCGTCTTCTTTGTCTTTGTCGTGTGCGCCGCCCTCATGGTGATGAACATGCTTATCAGAAGGGCTTTGCCCGCTGCCGCCAGCCCACCCGCAGATTGCTTGCATGGTCACGCTTGGTCGGTAGGTTGGTCGGGTTTCTTTTCAGTTGGCTGGCAGGCGACTGGGCCGATCGGCTTGATGGCTGACAACTGATTTGGGCTGTTGGCTGGTTGGCTGGTTGCGCGAGCCCATGTCAACTGATGAGTGATGGTAGCCTTAGGTCGGGCCTGTCCCCCTACAGGGGGACTTTCGACGAACAATGAAAATACCCCCAACATAGTCAAAACATATTATAAAAATAGTCTGGGGACTATTGTTGGAGCATGTGTTTGGCCTTTTTGGGGTATGTTTTGGGTATTTTTCCCTACCTAGGCTCTGCCTAGAAGGGTTCTTACTCTGTTAGCTTAAAGGGCCGGGCAATGGAAATCGCCCCGGGCGGTTCCCCCAGTCCCCGCCCCGCGGTTCCCCCAGTTACGTCCCCGTAACTTAGCGTTGCTTATCTCATCGTAGCCTAGCTTAGCTTAGCTTAGCTCAGCTTAGCTTAGTTTAGCTTAACTTAGCTTAGCTTATCTCATCTCAACTTAGCTTAGCTTATCTCATTTCAGCTTAGCTGAGCTGAGCTTAGCTTACCTTACCTTAGCTCAGCTTAACTTAGCCTATATCATCTTAGCTTAGCTTAGCCTAGCTTAGCTTAGCCTAGCCTAGCTTAGCTTAACTTAGCTTAGCGTAGCCTAGCTTTGCGTAGCTTAGCTTAGCTTAGCTTAGCTTATCCCATCTTAGCTGAGCTTACCTTAGCTTAGCTTAACTTCGCTTAGCTTAGCCTATATTATCTTAGCTTAGCTTAACTTGGCCTAGCCTAGCCTAGCCTAGCCTAGCTTAGCTTAGCTTATCTCATCTCATCTTAGCTTTGCTTAGCTTAGCTTAGCTTAGCTATCTCATCTTAGCTTAGCTTAGCCTAGCTTAGCTTATGTTGCTTTCCTAAGGGCTCCAACTCCTAGGTAGGGTCGCACTGGGATAATTTATTGTTCGTCGAAATCCCCCTGTAGGGGGACACGCCCGACTTAATGATAGCCTCGGGAGCGCGCTCCCGTGAAGCGCGCTCACGAGTGTTCGCGGCTTCGTTTCGGGTTTCGGGAGCGCGCGAGCCTGGCAGTCTTCGGGGCACCTCGGGAACGACGCGTGGGGGCGAAGCGCGCCCCCCGAGCACACAGCGCCATGCGGAACATTCTAGGCTGGTCCGATGTTCCACCACCGCTACCACAGGTAGGGGGGAGGAGGAGGAGGAGGAGGAGGAGGAGGAGGAGGAGGAGGAGGAGGAGGAGGAGGAGAGGAGGAGGAGGAGGAGGAGGAGGAGGGGGAGGGGTGGGGGGAGGGGGAGGGGGGGAGGAGGGAGGGGGAGGAGGAGGCGGAGGAGGGGGGGGGGGGAGGAGGAGGAGGGGGAGGACACCCCGCCCTACTTGTTGGAGCGGTGGTGGACAATGGGCCCCTCGTTCCAGTTTTGTTCCTGCTGTGCAGGAAGGGCAGGGCCTCGGGAGCGCGACCTTGCGGTCACCTGCCGGCGCGGAGCACCTCCTCCTCCTCCTCCTCCTCCTCCTCCTCCCTCCTCCCTCCTCCTCCTCCTCCCCTCCTCCTCCTCCTCATCCTCCTCCTCTCCTCCTCCTCCTCCCTCCTCCTCCTCCTCTCCTCCTCCTCCTCCTCCTCCTCCCCCTTTCCCCTCCCCCTCCCCCTCTCCCTCCTTATCCTCCTCCTCCTCCTCACCTGCTGGCGCGGAGCACGCGCAGGTTGTGGCATGGGCCGTGCCCTCGGGGTCGCGCCGTGAGCGCAAGGTTTAGGGCTGGGAACAAAAAAGTGGCATAAACATAGAAACTCGGAGGTCCGCGCGGATTTCTCGGATCGGCTCCGCGCGCCAGGGAGGGGGGTCCAGCGCCGATCCGAGAAATCCGCGCGGACCTCCGAGTTTTTCCATACCTAGGCTCTGCCTAGAAGGGTTCTTGCTCGGTTTGCTTAAAGGGCCGGGCAGTGGGGCCCGCCCCGGGCGGTTCCCCCAGTATCCGCCCCGGGGTTCCCCCAGTTACGTCCCTTTAGCTTAGCGTTGCTTATCTCATCTTAGCTTACCTTATTTCATCTTAGCTTAACTTAGGGTCATGTTAGCTCATATTTATCTTAGCTAGCTTGCCTTCATCTTAGCTCCGCTGAGCTTTAGCATAGCAGAGCACATCATATCATGTCATAGCGTAGCATACCATAGCGCAGCACAGCATATCATAGCATAGCCCAGCATATCATAGCATAGCGCAACATACCTTAGCATATCATAGCATATCGCAGCACACCACAGCACAGCATATCAGATCATAACATAGCATAGCGCAGCTTAGCTCAGCATAGCATAGCATAGCATATCATATCATATCATATCATTGCATAGCATAGCTTAGCTTAGCACAGCGCAGCATGACATAGCATAGTTGAGCATTGCATAGCTTAGCATAGCGCAGCATAGCGCAGCATAGCATAGCGTATCATAGCATAGCATATCATGGCATAGCATAGCATAGCATAGCTCAGCATAGCATGGCATAGCATAGCATAGCATATCATAGCAACTAATGCTGCTTCCCTAGGGGCTCCAACTTCTAGGTAGGGTCGCACCGGGGTAATTATGTTTATGCCACTTTTTGTTCCCCTAAGGTTACCCGTTGGTCGTTGAGAGTTCCCCAATCAGTGCTTGCACTGAAGTGGGGTCCTAGCGGAAGCTGAAAGATTGGGCGAAGGTTCCCCGCCGATTTTGGTTCCAGGCCGATTTCGGTGGGTTTTGGGTTCCCAGGCTTCCAGGTTCCCGGTCAATCTCCTCAGCGAAAACCATCCTTTGATTGGGGTGTTTTTTTGGTGTTATAGAAGTTTGTTTTGCTTTCCAGATCCCAATCTACTCTAAGCGCCTTCCTACTTCAATGATCGAGTGGTTCCACCGTTTTCGTCCGCCTTAAGGGGGCGGACGAGACTCAATCTTTTGTTCAGCGCCTTCCTGATTCATGTTTCTGCCTACTTCTTCCGATCGATGGGTATTTACAAGAGATTGTGGTTTGGTGCTTGCGAACCAATTGTTCCCCAATCAGTGCTTCCACTGAAGTGGTCCTAGCGGAAGTTGAAGGATTTGGCGAAAGTTCCCCGTCGATTTTGGTGGCAGGCTGGGTTCCTGGGGTCCCGGGCTCCCTGTTCCAGGTTCCCGCGTTCCCGGTTCCGGATGCCGGGACGAGTTCGGAGGGCGGCGAGGTTCCCGGGTTCTCTTGGGTTCCTGGTCGATCTTCTTATGTATCGGTCTCACCATCGATCTCGTTACCGATTTCTCGATCGATCTCACCATCGATCTCACAATCGATCTCACTATCAATATCACAAGCGATCTCACTAGAGATCGCATGAGCGATCTCGCGATCGATCCCATTATCGATCTCATTAAATCGATTTCACTCTCGGTCTCACGATCGACCTTACAATCATCCTCACTATCGATTCCACTATCGATCTCATGATCGATCTCCCAATCGATCTCAAGATCCATAGTATCAATTTTCAAATCATCCACTGATTGGGGTTTCCTCAGGTGTAATGAAACTTTACACTGGATTGGCCTCGGGAGCGCGAGCGCGTTGTAATTCACACATGGGGTTGTGGCTTCACTTGCGAGGGATTGTGATCTCGGGCGCGCGTGAACGTGATGCAGTTTGCACGGGACGGAGTCCCGGGGAGCGCAAGTGCGTTGCAATCCTGCGAGGGGCTGCCTTCGGGAACGCGAGCGCGCTTTCTCATGTGCGAGGATACGTGGCCTCGGGGACGCGACTCTGCGGCAGCTTTGCAGTGGCTGGTGGCCTCGGGAGCGCGAGTGAGTTGCAAGGTTAAACGAAACAGGGTTGCTGTCTCGGGACTACAGGCTGGTCGTAAGGCATCATGGGTTGTGGTTTGGGGCATCGAAATGGAAGCATCTTACATTGGACTGAGGCTTCGGGGGTGTGAGTGCGGCGCGATTCATTAGGGATTGCGACATCGAGCGCGCGAACCTATCGTAATGTAGAAAGAGTTGTGTCTTCGGGAGCACGGCTGCGGGGTGATGTCGAGGGAGTGGTTTCGGGAGTGCGAGCTCGTAGTACGTTACTCGAGATTGTGGCATCGGGACGCAAGCTTGTCGTATGTTGTTGAAGATTGTGAACTCGGGAGCTGACCGCCGCAGTACTTCACAAGGGATGTTGGCTTGGTGAGCGCGAGTCCGTCGTATTTTACGAGGGGTTGTTGACTCGGGAGCGCCAACGCGTTGTAATTCTTACGCGTCGTGTATACCTACCGGCCAATCCAGGAACAATGCCCAGGAGAACTGCCCTTATCGGGGGAGCGTGGCATTATCGGGATACCTCGGGGAGCCTGGGTCGCCTGAATTCCTCTTTGATGCCTCTCGGAGTCTCGTGGCATATCTTTTGGGAGCCTCTTAGAGGTTTCTCTGGGCGTGCTGGGGGCCTCTTGGTGGCTCTTAGGGGTTTGTTGGGGTGTTTCGGCGTCTCTTGGGGCCCTTTTGGGGCCTCTTGGGGCTTCTATGGCGCCTCTTGGGGCCCTGGGGGGCATTTTCGGGCCATCTTGGAGGCCAGTGAGTAGAAAGGGAGCGGCGTCAATTACGGTAGCGCTGCCCCCAGAGCGGGCCAACATTGGTCCACAACCAAATTTACGTAACGAATGTTTTCTTTCTCGTGGAGGTCTTATTTCTTGGGGGCTCAGGCCCCTCGCCCCCCTCCGTCCAGACCCACGGGGAGGGGGTAGGGGGAGGGATCGAGGTTCAAGACACCTCTCCCAGACGCAAACTGTTTGGCTCACTCCCACCCGCCCTCAGAACATGGAAGTAGTACCCGAGTCTCAGCATATTCAGCGGTCCTTGGATGGGCAGCTACTGGGGACCTGTGCAGACCCCAGGTGCGCGATGCTGGGGCGAGGTGCGCCACGCGTGCCAGGCGCCACGTGTGCCAGG